GGCCTAATAAGCATGTCAGTTCTAAAAAAATGTGATTTTTCCTGACTATTTTTAAAGGGTTAGGCTTTATAGAGTTAACATGAGGAAAAACAGAGCTGAAATAAGTTTATAAACACTGCACATTGGTTAATAACTAAAGTTTTGAAAGTTAAACTAAGCTGCTCAACTTTTACACTTCTAAGAATGAGAATGAAAACTGGTTTGCAAAACGAGCAGGTGGAGAACAAACAAGTTGTTTACAGTATCACAGCATCAGCCAACAACTGGCACAGCTGTCCCATCAGCTCAAACAACAGCACTCACCTCCATGTTTACCACTCAATCAAATCACTCTCTGAGCATGGAGGTTTGGGGACCAGTGAACATGTGTCCAGTAACTTCTGCTGAAAAGGGCGACCCCTCTGGGAGGAGGGAGAGGAGGGGCAGGGTGGTGCACCCCAAAAACAGCTTCAAACTGAAMGATCTTCGTCAGTGGCAGGGGAAGGGTGGCACTTTGTTGGCAGAAACATAACGGACCGATTTGAAGTTTTTATGAGAATTTGTCACTATCAAACAGACTGCTAGACGCCTAGATAATTTCAACAGGCTTTAGTTTTCAAGGGATCTTCCTCATATTCAACCAATCAAATTTGTCATTTTATTTTTGATTTGTTTATTAAATTCAAATAGTTAAAACTTCTAATTTATAGTTTTTTTTAAGTACTCGAACAACTAGAGAACTGGTATTTCCTGCAAAACAGTGTGCATGATTAATGCAACAGGATTTTTTTTAGTTGAAAAAAGCTTAAATGACCTAAAACGTAGCTAAAACACAGAAAACACCTGAATGAAGCATAAAATCACAAAAAGTTTAAATATGGAGTAGAGCAGAAGAACTGCACAAGTACCAAAATGTCATGTCCGAAATGTCCTGAAGGAGCTGAACAGTTTGATACAGTATATCAAATGTTGAAATAGCTTTAAAAAATATTTAATTAAAGTACACACACACACACACACACACACACACACA